CGCTTTCGAAACATGCTGTCCGCCGATGCCCGGAAAGAGCGGCATCGTTGGGCACACGTGCCATCGCTGCCAAACTGCGATACAAAGAGGGACCGGTGAGCGGAAACACGCAATATGGACATGACGGATTGCGATCCGGCTGTACAGGTGCAGCCCCAGGACAGCACCTTCCCGAGGGCCTTTACATCAGCCTTTGAAGCAGCCAGACTCCATGACACGCAACGGTCACGAGCATCAAACGAGCAAACAGTTGGCAGGGCATTGCCTGCCTCGAACTCCCTGGTCAGGAAGAGGGAGCCTGCGAAGATCATGGCATGCGAATTCACTGGCCCACCAGTAGCCAGCGGCTCCCAGGCTGAGAGCTTCAAGCCCGCCACTTTCGTGAGATCGAGGGCCGCCCTTTGTCTACCAAGGCCCATGCCTCGGGTTGCGGACGCAGAGGCGCGACGCTTAGCGTGTTCGAGCAAGTCGGTCCACGGAAAACCGGACGCGACGTGATCGTCTTTCGCCCTGCTCGCGTAATTGGCGGCAGACCGGTACTTACCGTGCTTCAGCAAAGACATGACAGCTGAAATCTTTACAGGGCTCAGCGGGAGAACAGGGACACACGTGCCTTCAGCAGCGAGTGCCTCCGATTCAGACCAGACTTCGTGAAGTCGCACCCACGCGCGCCACTGTGACACCCGTGGAGCAATCGAGGTCACGGCGAATTCGTCAGCGACGTGCTCTCAGAGCGCTCTTTGGCGAGATGCGGGCTCCGCGGCTGCCGCAAGGGCAACAGCGGAAGGAGGAGGAGGAGGAGGAGGAGGAGGAGGAGGAGGGAAGAGGGAAGAGGGAAGAGGGAGGAGGGAGGAGGGAGGAGGGAGGAGGGAGGAGGGAGGAGGAGGGAGGAGGGAGGAGGGAGGAGGGAGGAGGGAGGAGGGAGGAGGGAGGAGGGAGGGGGGAGGAGGGAGGAGGAGGAGGAGGCCTCGCTTGCAGCAGCGAGAAACGCTCGCATCTCCGCGCCGGCCCTGCACGGAGAGCGGCAGAGCAGCTACGTCGACGGGGCGCGTGCTAACTCGAGGACGACAGCGAGGCCACCGCTGCCGGCACTGCTGCAGACCGACAGGAATCCAGGGGCCCAAGGACACACAAATAAATACACACAAATAAAATGATTCCCCATATTTTCCTATATTTTCTGGGTTTTTGTCTTCCCGCCCAATTCCCATATTTTCCTATATTTTGGGGGGGGATCGACGATGAATTGTGTCTGTGTGTTTCTTCCCCTCCTGAAGGAAGGGGACAACACGAGGGGGAGCAACAGAAGGACAAGGAGGGGAGGGGGAAGGAGGAGGCCGCGGGACCAGCAAGCACGACGGAAGGAAGCGGGACAGGGGGGGGGAGGGATACCTCAAGACCATAAAGGCCAACAGAGCACCCCAGGAGGAAAACATAAGTGGAGGGACACAGAAGTCGCTCCATTCTTTTTCGTCATAATTTTCCCTGTCGCACTCCGAGGGCAATTGTTAGGGCGGGCCGGGCGTTTCGCCTGAGACTCCCTCACCATTTATGACTCTGAAGCTATAAGATGGCAACAGCTTCACAAATGGAGGGCGGGTCGTTTTCAAAATGTGGCTCTCGCTTTAGCGCTACGCACATTCGCTTTAACGATTTGCTGGAATGTCACGTAGTGAGGGCGGGTGGTTTTCAAAATGTGGTTGTTCCCTCAGCGCCGCGCAGAGTCGTTTTAAAGAATTGCAAGAGCTTCACGGATTGAGGGCGGGTGGTTTTCAAAATGGGGTTATCGCCTTAGCGCCGCGAACATTCGTTTCAAAAATGTGCAAGCACTTCACTGATTGAGGGCGGTTCCTTTTCAAAATGTGGTTCTCGCCTCAGCGCCAGGCACATGCGTTTTTTGCAAATTTACAAGGGGTTTCACGGATCGAAGGCGGTTCCTTTTCAAAATGTGGGTCTCGCCTTAGCGCCGCGAACATGTTGTCTAACAATGTGCAAGAGTCTCACGGATTCCCATGATCAACGTACCAGAAATTGCGTTTGGGAAGGAGTCAGGAGCATGCGGACGCAACAGCTGTCTTGATTCGCGGTGTCGAAGTCCCAAAACTGGCGTTCTGGCACGATTCCTGATCGTCAGGACGCAGGAGTCAGGTTGATCCGTGGCGTGGGAATCCCGAGAACAATGCTTCGGCATGCTTCAGGGTCTTCAAACGGTTGTCTTCCAACAGGGCAGTTCCTCAAATGGACATGATCCGTTGTAGGGGCCTATGAAGAGGGAGTTTGCAGGGAGGGCTCATTCAGAACATCGTTGATGACTCTTGGGTTCACACTGGTCTTCCTCTTCCTGCTATTCCTCCTCCCACCCCCCTCCTCCTCCGCCGTCCTCCGTCCTCCGTTCTCTTCCGTCCTTTCCCTCCTCCTCCTCCGTCCACCTCATCCCCCGCCCCATTCCTCCCCTTCCTCCGCCCTCCGTTTACATGTTGTTTGGACAGTCGATTTTGAAAGCCTTACGATACCGAAGGTTTCCGAAGGATTTCCGGCATGCGCGCGCGACAGCGCGCGCCGGTGCATTTCGTCGCGTTTTCACCTAACAGCGAAGACTGATAGGTTTCTAGTGGTGTCAAAAGAGAGCAGCAGATGACTCCACACGGGGGTCGGGGCGGGACCCGGGGCGGCTGCCGCCGAAGCCCAAATCGCCTGGGACATCCTCGCAAAATCGCTTGGCGCTGCTAGAACTCCATTCCCGGGCCACATTTTGAATGCCCGGAGCCAACTGTAGGCCACTTCGTGCTCTTCGACTTCCCAGAACTCCATTCCCGGGCCACATTTTGGATGCCCGGAGCCAACTGTAGGCCACTTCGTGCTCTTCGACTTCCCAGAACTTCATTCCCGGGCCACATTTTGGATGCCCGGAGCCAACTGTAGGCCACTTCGTGCTCTTCGATTCCCAGAACTCCATTCCCGGGCCACATTTTGGATGCCCGGAGCCAACTGTAGGCCACTTCGTGCTCTTCGAGTTCCCAGAACTCCACTCCTGGGCATGATTTTGAATGCCCGGAGCCAACTGTAGGCCACTTCGTGTTCTTCGAGTTCCCAGAACTCCATTCCCGGGCCACATTTTGAATGCTGAGGCAGGCTGATGCTGCGGCCGAGGCAGGCTGAGGCTGAGGCAGGCTGAGGCTGAGGCCGAGGCTGAAGGCAGACTGAGGCTGAGGCTGAAGCACTGAGGCTGAGGCTGAGGCAGGCTGAGGCTGAGGCTGAGGCAGGCTGATGCTGAGGCAGGCTGAGGCTGAGGCTGAGGCTGATGCAGGCTGAGGCTGAGGCAGGCTGAGGCTGAGGCCGAGGCTGAAGGCGACTGAGGCTGAGGCTGAAGCAGGCTGAGGCTGAGGCTGAGGCAGGCTGAGGCTGAGGCTGAGGCAGGCTGATGCTGAGGCAGGCTGAGGCTGAGGCTGAGGCTGAGGCTGAGGCTGAGGCTGAGGCTGGTGCACGCTGAGGCTGAGGCAGGCTGAGGCGGAGGCCGAGGCTGAAGGCAGGCTGAGGCTGAGGCTGAAGCAGGCTGAGGCTGAGGCTGAGGCAGGCTGAGGCTGAGGCTGAGGCAGGCTGATGCTGAGGCAGGCTGAGGCTGAGGCTGAGGCTGATTGCAGGCTGAGGCTGAAGCAGGCTGAGGCTGAGGCCGAGGCTGAAGGCAGACTGAGGCTGAGGCTGAAGCAGGCTGAGGCTGAGGCTGAGGCAGGCTGAGGCTGAGGCCGAGGCTGGCTGATGCTGAGGCAGGCTGAGGCTGAGGCTGAGGCTGATGCAGGCTGAGGCTGAGGCAGGCTGAGGCTGAGGCCGAGGCTGAGGCCGAGGCTGAAGGCAGACTGAGGCTGAGGCTGAAGCAGGCTGAGGCTGAGGCTGAGGCAGGCTGAGGCTGAGGCTGAGGCAGGCTGATGCTGAGGCAGGCTGAGCTGATGCAGGCTGAGGCTGAGGCAGGCTGAGGCTGAGGCCGAGGCTGAAGGCAGACTGAGGCTGAGGCTGAAGCAGGCTGAGGCTGAGGCTGAGGCAGGCTGAGGCAGAGGAGGCAGGCTGAGGCTGAGAGCTGAGCTGAGGCTGTTTGCAGCTGAGGCTGAGGCTGAGGCAGGCTGAGGAGGCTGAGGCCGAAGCAGCTGAGGCTGAGGCTGAGGCACTGAGGCTGAGGCTGAGCTGGGCTGAGGGCAGGCTGAGCCGGTGAGGTGAGGCTGCAGAGACTGAGCTGAGGCTGAAGCAGGCTGAGCTGCGTGAGGCAGCTGAGGCTGAGGCTCTAGGCTGAGGCAAGGCTGATGCTGAGCTGAGCTGCTGAGGCTGAGGCTGAGGCAGGCTGAGGCTGAGGCCAGGCTGAGGCTGAGGCCTGAGGCTGAGGCCGAGGAAGGCAGACTGAGGCTGAGGCTGAAGCAGGCTGAGGCTGAGGCTGAGGCAGGCTGAGGCTGAGGCTGAGGCAGGCTGAGGCTGAGGCTGAGGCTGAGGCTGAGGCTGAGGCAGGCTGAGGCTGAGGCCGAGGCTGAAGGCAGACTGAGGCTGAAGCAGGCTGAGGCTGAGGCTGAGGCAGGCAGGCTGAGGCTGAGGCAGGCTGAGGCTGAGGCTGAGGCAGGCTGAGGCTGAGGCTGTGGCTGTGACTGCGACTGCCGTTGCCACTGCGACTGTCATCGCGAATGCGACTACGACTGCGAGAACAGCAGAATTCTACAACTGGATTCTCATCCGAATCTTAAGGGGAATGCTTCCAGATATGCTCCTACAAATCGCTGTTAGGTTGCTTTGCCGGGATAATTTGTTTTAAACAAATAGATTCATTTATGACTATATATGTATGGCTTATTGCATATATGTATAGATGTGTGTATGTATATATATGTGTGTATAAACATACAAGGGCTTCTTGAAGATTCATGATTGTTGATTGTTGCGGACCCCCCCCCCTTTTCTCCACGACCTCCCCCGCCTCTCCTCGCGATGCCACCCCCCGCCCTCCCGCGGGCGCGCCCGGGGGCCTCGTCCTCCTGCCGCGCCCCCGGCCTCAGGAGCGCAAGGATCTCCCTGCCGACGTCCTCCGCGGGCCCCTGGGCGCCTGGCGCAACAACGGGGAGCGCTCGCTCGCGCCCGCGCGCGCGGCGGACACCGCCCACGGCGCAGGGCGGCGGCGAGCGGCGACTGAGGCGACTGGCGCGGCGCTTTCGACCCTCGGACGCCGACGACGACGATGCACGCGGAGGCGGCGGCGACGAAAACGGCGACGACGGCGGCCGCCGCGGACGCAGCTCCCCGAGAGGCCCCGGAACGCCGTCCGGGCGGCGGCGGGTCCGCAGCGGGAGCGGGCGACGGGCAGGGGGCAGCGGCCGCACGGCAGCGGTCGGCGGCTGTCGGCGGCGGCGACATCATCGGTATCATCGACGTCGACGATGTTTACGGCGGCGGCGGCGGCGGCGACGGCGGCGACGGCGGCGACGACGACGACGACGACGACGACGTTGTTGCGGACGTTGCGGATGCTGGCGGACGGCTTGTCCCGACCGCCGGGCGCCCGCGCACGCAACGGCCCACGGCCGCTCGCGCCGGCCGTGGCGCCGCCGCCCCGCCACGCGGGCCAGCCCTCCTCTCGGAGGCATGTGCCCTCCAGGCCTCTGCGGCCTGCCCGCCTCGCATCCTCCGCGCGCGGAGGCGCCCTCGAGGCCCCCTGCCGCGCCCCGCGCTGGGCCCGGCGGCCCGCTATCGGGCCGTCGTCAGCCCTCCCCACCTCCTCGCCCTTCCCTGGCCCAGGGCTCTGGCCCAGTCGCCTCCTCGAGGCCTGCTCGGCCTCCCTCCTCTCGCCTGCTTCGCGAGCCTCCAGCGCCGCCACAACGACGACGACGACGACGACGACGACGACGACGAAGACCGATCGACCGACCGACCGACCGACCGACCGACCGACCGACGACGACGACGACGACTGCGACGACGACGACGACGACGACGACGACGACGACGACACCGACCGATCGATCGACCGACCGACCGACCGACCGAACGACCGAACGACCGAACGACCGACCGACCGACCGACCGACCGACCGAACGACCGACCGACCGACCGACCGACCGACCGACCGACCGACGACAACGACGACGACGACGACGACGACGACGACGACGACGACGACGACGACGACGGCAGCGGCGTCGGCGGCGACGGTGGCGGCGGAGTGCGGGCACCTCTCCGCGGCCCCTGGCGGAGGGCGGCGGGGCGGCCGCGCACGTCCGCCCGCTCGCCTGGGCCGCGGAGGCGGCGGGCGGGCGATCGATCGCGCAGCGACGTCGCCGGCGCCGCTGTCCGCCGCCCCCGCCGCCGCCGTCGCCCGAGATCCGGGCGTGGCAGTTTCTGTACCACGCCTGGCGCTGTCGCCGCGCTCTGGGTCCGGGTGGTGACAGCACCTGGTGGGGATTCCAGGTCACCACCTGATAGCTCACCACCTGGTTTGGGGGCTCCCAGTCCTGGGACCCTCACAGATCGGTCCGGATCGAGGGATGCCGCAGCACGATGGGGTCGCCGCCACCTGAGCCGCCGTCGCTGCAGCCGTCGCCGTGGCGGGCATCGTCGCCCCCCTCGTGCCGACCGCCCGCCGCCGCCGCCGCCGCCGACCGCCAGCCACCGGCCGCGGCTTCTGGCGCGCGGAGACCAGGGCGGTGCGACCACGGCCCGCGACCGCTGACGACGCAGACGACGCTAGCGACGCTAACGACGACGGCGACCAGCGACGGCGACAAACGACGACCGACGAGCGACGACCAAGGGTCAACGAACGACGACCGACGATCGACGACCGACGACCGACGACCGACGACCGACGAAGACGCCGATGACGGCAACAACGGCGCCGACATCGAAGACGATGGCGACGGCGGTCGCGCCGCCGTCCGTCCGCGGGGCGACGCCGGCACTGACGCTGGCGCCGGCGCCGGGACCGCCGCCGCCGCAGCTGCCGACGACGCCGACGACGCCTGCGGCGACGGTGAAGGCGACGGCGACTGCAACCACGACGACGACGACGACGACGACGACGACGACGACGACGACGACGACGACGACTGCAAAGGCGACGACGACGACGACGACGACGACGACGACGACGACGACGACGACGACGACGACGACGGCGACGACTGCGACGCCGACGCCGACGCCGACGACGGCGACGGCGACAACGACGACGACGACGGCGACGGCGACAACGACGACGACGACGACGACGACGCCTCCGACTGCGACGCCGACGCCGACGCCGACGCCGCCGACCGCGCCGACGACGAGGACGACGAGGCGCCCTCCGAGCTCCACGCGGCCACGGGAGCAGCAAAAACTGCACGAGCAGAAACTCTCGGAGCTCCGCGCGGCTGGCTCTTGGATCGGCGCTGGGCCCCTCCGGCGGCGGCTCCGGATGTCCGCCCCCATGGCGCTCCGCGCGCCAAGGAGTGGGGTCCATCGCAGGTCCGAGAAATCTGCGCGGAGCTCCGAAAGTGTACAGAAGGGGCGTTGACCTAAGGAACCCTAAATAAGGAACGAGGCCCCTTTTCTCCATAAGTTAAGCTTCGATTTCCCATCGAAAACCTCAGGAAAACCCGAGGCAAGCTGTGAAACACGTAAGGAACACGGAGCCCCTTACCAACGAAAAGGGTTCCTTCTTCAGGGCCCCGACTGTATGCTCAGAGAGTCGGTTCTCCCTCTACACGAGCACCGTGTGCTTGGCCGAAGGCCAGCAGCATCCACCCGTCTTGCGAGTGCTCTCGGGGCAGCGGGTGCCGCGTCAGGAGACGGGTTCCCGAGGCTGCAGTTCTGGGGAGGGAGAGATGAAGGAGCACGAGGACGAGGAGGACGACGTGGCGCGGAGGGAGGCCAAACCTGTATGAGGAGGAGGAGGAGGAGAAGGAGGAGTAGGAGGCGGAGGAGGAGCAGGAGGAGCAGGAGGAGGAGGAGGAGAGGAGGAGAAGAAGGAGGAATAGGAGGAGGAATAGGAGAAGGGTGGACGCGTGGACGGGCAAGCACTCGAACGACGCATCGCGCCGTGACCCGTGCCCCCATGGCTTGCCATTCCCGTCGGCGGTCGCCGCCGTCGCGGAAGCTGCGAACGCGTGTGCTTTGTGCCGGTTCTGCTCCCCACTCCTGGAGATCGGGGGCGTCCAAGAGGGGGGAGTTCCAGAAGGGGGCTCGCAGATCGTGGGCCGAGGCACGTGCGCGGACGAGAGGGGGGAGGAGGAGGAGGAGGAGGAGGAGGAGGAGGAGGAGGAGGAGGAGGAGAAGGAGGGAGGGAGGGAGGAGGGAGGAGGGAGGAGGGAGGAGGGAGGAGGGAGGAGGAGGAGGAGGAGGAGGAGGAGGAGGGAGAGGAGGAGGGAGGAGAGAGGAGGAGGAGGGGCAGGAGGCGCATCCCGCCAGCCTTCCGCGATATCTCGCTCTCCCCTTCCAAAAAAGCCTCGTCGCCTCGGGGAGGGGCAGCCTCCCCCATCCCCTGCCTGGGGGGGGGTTCGGGGCGGGCCGCAGCGCGTCGGGGCGTCGGTTTTCGTGCAAAAGGGCTCTCAAGATGGCCCTCAAGATGGCCCTCAAGATGGCCCAAGATAGTCCTCAAGATGGCCCAAGACAGCCGACGACGGTTCAAAAATAGCCTCTGACATGCTTCCAGGAGGCCCGACGAGGGCCCCAGCTCTCGGAGCTCCCATCAGGGTCCCTCCAAGAGGCCACACTAGTTCAAGCACTGAACACATATCGATGACGTTTCCAACTTCTCGCCTTGTCGCTTCCGATGCGCTGTTGAGGCCTCAAGATAGCCCAATAGAGGCCCAAGAGGGGCACGAGAGACCTCCCAGACGGCCCCAAGAGCGGCCCAGGAGCGCCCCAAGAAGGCCCAAGGGGACATTGGGGGGCTCATGTGGCCCCTTTCTGAGGGTCCCAAGAGGGCCGCAAGCGGGCCCCGAGATGGCCCCAGGGGGGGAGTTGTCACATTTGGGACCCCCCCCTGTGATCGATGGCCTCCAAGAAGACGGCCCCAAGAGGCCCTCCAGGGCTCCCAGGGAACCCCTATAGAGGACTCCATGAGGGCCCCAAGACCCCCCACAAGAGCCCCAAGAGGACCCCAAGATCCCCCAAAAAAATCCGAAGGAAGCTCCAAGAGGCTCCTTCCCTTGCCCCCACGGGCCCCAGGGATGGCCCGAAGAGGCACTCCAAGGCCACCCCCTTGGTTCCAGAGATCTCTCTGTTCACCCTGGTTGCCCGATTTGATTCACCACATGTGTCTCTTCGTCCCTTTTCACGTCAATTCTCATGGACAGGGTTTCCGAATTGGCTGGTAGGGATGCGCGAAGCGTGAAAAATTGAAATAGGAATAGGGGGGCATCTACAGTCAACGCGTGTAATGAGGATGCACGGTAAGGGTGCAAGGGCTTTGAAGGCAATGTCAGCACCTTTCGAGCGGGGTGCGGCCAGCGAAGGGTGGTCAAATATGGACCGAAAAGACAAGGCCTCAAGGGCAACCGTGAAAAATTGCTCCCTCATCCTTACTGTACGCTTTCACTGCATCATGGCCCCCGCCATTATTTCCACCCCCGCCTGGGCACCCCCCCTTGTTGGCGGCGCGCACAAGGGGGTAGGGGAAGGGGGGAAGGCTTCTTTGAAGGAGGCTGCTTCTTAGACGGCGCTGGCCCGCGCCTTCTGAGAAGCAGGGGTGCTTCTGAAAAGCCCTCCCCTGAGATACGAGGTTGCAGCAAAAAATGCAACATCGCGAACAATTGCGACCAGAGCCCTAGACCCCATGTGTCTGCATCATGTTTCGATCGGGATCGATCTGTGAGGGTATCGGCGAAAACGCCCGATGTGAAAACTGAGCGAAAACGCCCAGTGTGAAAAAGTGCAGCGCCAGGACCTCAGGGTCCCCCCTCCCCCCGACCCCCCTCTTGGAGGCCTCCTGGATGGGGTCGAAGTAGGTGGGGTCGAAGAATCGCGCCGCATCGCCAGTGCATCGCCGATGCATCGGCGATGCATCGGCGATGCACCAGCGATGCACCAGCGATGTCGGCGACGCATCGGCGCCGAGCCGCATCGCCGATGCATCGGCGACGCGGCGCGATCCTCCGACCCCACCTGCCCCGACCCCGCCCGGGAGGCCCAGGCCTCTGCGCATGGCCGAGCTCCCCAGGCCCCCGACGCGGCGATGTTGCACAACGTCGACCCCAGGAGGTCTGGACCCCTTCCCCCGGGGCGGGCTTTTCCGCCTGAGCAATTCTGTTGACGGTCCCGAGGCCCGGCAGAGGCCCCCAAAGGCCGAACATAGCGGAAAACCTCCCGTCCCGATTCGTTGTTCACGAAGCGAGGGGGTCTGGGTCTGGGAGGCCT